AAGGTTCTAGAAAGAATGACATAGCACTGAGAATTCTTTATTTCATGAGGATCCAGTTTCTTATGCTCTGCTTCTACACCAACTTCTAACTTCAAGGAAGCCTACGTCCATCTCCAGGAGATCTAATTCTTCCTTGCCAGCTGGAAATTCTTAACCCACTCCCTGCATATTCCCACTCCTTGCACATTCCATTTCAATTTCCTCTTAAAAAAAATACCCCACTCCTAATTTAGTATTTCTTCTGATATTCACTATTCATAAAGTAAGTAGAAGACAGTTCTTTTCCAATTGAGATTTCACTCACAGTGTAAGGAATAAGCTGAAACAGAATGCTAGTACATACATACAAATAAATTTATCTCCTACCTACACCTTCTTCTTCTTCTTCTTCTTCAGTGTTATAAATAGGACCATCTAAAAGGATGGAAGAGAAACAATAAATATAAAGATAAATGCTGAGCAGAAATGTAAAGTGTTCTATTCCAACTTTTCTTCCCGACTTTATGATGTAAACAGACAGTAAGTCATCACATGCAGCAGTAGATAAAATGACTGGGAAGATAGTGGAGGGTCTTGAACGTTAAATTAAGGGAGCCCAAGGTATTTCACTTGGTAGGGACGTGATGAAAACAATGCTTTTTAATTAATTGAGGCCAATCTGCTTTATCCCTAACAGCACTCACCTATGTTTGGTACTGCAGTAGTCTTAAAAGGCCGAAGGTTCTTCCAGGGGTGGATGAATTCTGTAAACTATTGAAAGATACAAATTTCAATCATTAGGAAGCAAGCTATCAAGCAGCCCAATGTTCCCGTATAACAGGGGCTGGAAGGATTCAGGGAAGACCACCTGAATACTGTTTCCTTTGTAGTGTTAGGTATTCATGGCTTCCTTTCAAGAACGGGTCTCCTGTATGAATTATCCCCCATCTGGAGACTTTCTGTAGTCCCTGTACATGAAATTCCTCATTACTAGGCCTCCAGTTTAAATGTGGGCAGTACTTGTGGGGGAAGGGGGATGTCACAACACCAGCAAGGAGATGGTGGCTAAGAAAAATCGTTGATAAATATAAACAGGAAACTAGCCGACGCTTAACGGGCAAACTGGTAGAGGAGGAAACTCAGTCTAGTTGGGACTACCAGATACTTTCCCTCCCTGCATCAGGTGTCTCCATTTTGCCCTTTCCAAACAAAGGTCCTGCCTCTTTGGGGGGTCTCCTTTTCCGTGGCCCTCTTCCAAACCCTTCCACTTCTCCCCTCCATTTGACACTCCAAACGATAGCGGGCCTCTCCCTCCCCAGCACATTTCCCTCTGGGAGTCCCTGTTTTAGTTCCCGCCCTTTCCCCTCCCGGGCTCGGTGGCGTTTACGTGGCAGTTCAGCCGCTCGCTCTCTGCCACCCCTGAGTCGCCTCCCGAAAGTAACGACGCCATAACCGCGACCGCCGCTCCCGGCCCCCGCACGTGCTTCCAGCACAGGCGCGAGGCAGCGCCCCGCCCTTCCCAGTGGCCAAGAGGCTTTCTCAGGGGGCGGGCTTAAGCTCCCGCGCCCGCCCGCGGCGCGCAGGCGCAGAGCTGGGGCGGAGGGGGCGGAGGGGGCGGACGGAGATGGGGGAGGTGGGAGGTAGCCGGGGAAGGGGCTGGCGGGAGGAGGGAGGGTGGCGTGTTGCTCTGAGAGGTTTCGGTTTGGCCAGCCCCGCATCCAGCCAGGTGTTAGAAACTCGGGAGGAGTCGCGATCGTAGTCGACGTTGACCTGCTGCTGGCCTCGGCTGAGCCAACCAGCAGTTTGGGATTGTAAGCGGCAGCAATCTTTGCAGTGATTCGAGAATCCTGCGTCCCTTCCCCGAGCCGACCACTACCCAGACAATTCTCCAGGTGGTGAGGCTGTCTCCCCCACCCGCTTCGGGCTCTTCTGCCTGTATTTCCCCGGAAATTTCCGCCTCTACGTTACAAGACTTAAGAAAGACTAGCTAATTGCATAGGAAAGTGCAGAGACAAGAAGAAAAAAATAGAATAAAATAAAATAAAAGTGGAGGGACAGATGGGTGAGTTCGATATGACGAATGAACTCTAATGCGTAAGTTGCGGAAAGGAAGCAGAGTTGTTCAAGTTCTAACTACCGTTCCTGCCTTCGGTACCTGTAATGTTCTCACGCACCGGCTTATTTTAGTTGTTACTCTGAGATGTGGTCCCTTGTCAAAGCAACTGTCAGAAAACTCTTCCTTTCGGTACAACCTCTACCTCCGGCATGCATTTGCATAATCCGGAATAGATCCCTTATATACTAATGACTACTAAATTTGTACAAAAGAGTCAGTTTTTTTGTTTTTAACTTGACTTTTGCGATTTGAGTCAACATTTCTGGAATCCGGGGCAAAAATACAAAAACCCATAAACAAAACTGCAGACGTGATCTCTCCGTGGTGCTGAAGCAACACTCCTGGACTCTCGATCACTCTCAGGACATCTCAGTCGTTTGTTTCGAAGTTATCATATTCCTTTCCAGCCTTTACAGTTGTATTCTAATAGTAAATGTCTTTTAATCTTTCAATGGTAACTTTCTAATTTAACTAGGTACAAAATCGGGCCAGGATCTCTCTTAGTTTTCGTGTAAGGATTGCGGACATTTGAAAAATTATCTCTTTTATTTTAGCGCAGCACTAGAATTTCTCCTTTTATTCTTATACTCCCATAGGCCCCGAATTCTGCCCTGTTGGGGATGGAGAAACAGTGGCTGCACCAGAAAACCTTAGGTAGATTTCGGCGTCTAGCCCGAACCCGCAGCAATCAGAACTACATTTCCCACAAGTGTGGACTACACTTCCCATGAGGCCTCGGGCGCGCGCGTAGAGGACGCAAAGTGACAACTTCTTGTATCGCGAAAAGCTGCGTGGCCGATCGCCGGAAGGTAAATTTGGGCTTTTGGGGGTGGGCTACTTCCTGGGTTCTCCCGAGGAACGGACCAAATGGTCATACGGCTGAACATATGTATATATTTTTGCCCTCTTTCCCATACTTTGATCTCTTCAGGATGGCTCTGGTGTACGGACGTGGGACCTAGCTTAGGGACCGTGTGTTTTTCTTTTGTGCCTGGTACTTCCTAGAGCTCCTGGCAGAAACTCGCAGCAGTAGGGGCTTCTTTAATTCTGTTCTGTTTACGAGAGCTTAGAGGGCCCTTTGACTTTGGAGTTAAATCACTGTTGCCGCAGTTAAAATTGCTTGCTCTTAAGACTAAACAGTAGTAAAAGTCGGGATCCCAGTAGTACGTAGGATGGGAGGGAGGCGTGGCGGCAAGCAATTTTAAAATTATTTTGAGGATTGCTTTACACGCTGATTGCTTTTCAGTATTAGTGATCACAGTGCGTATCTCCTAATCCTTTGTACACTATTCCTCTTTCTCTCTGGTTTAAGAAAAAGTTTAACACGAGGAAAGGTATTTCTGCTGCTACTCTGGTTCCTGATCTTTTCGAGATTAAGACCCTTTTTTTAAGTTTAAAAAGATGTATTGAAAGTTTGGCGGTAGCTGCTGTAATTTATAGTTGATGCTTAGCGTACACACGAATTCCCTCTTTGTGGTGATTTGGCAGCCCCCTCCGAGGTGTTACATGTCTGCTTCGAAACTACTGCTTTACTCTGAGAAGGGTATGGTGTACTTTTTGCCACAAACGTGCCTTATGAGCTGACTCACCCCCTGGCCTGGTTCTTTAGTTAATAAGGGGTTGAAGTAGACAATCACTTGAGAAATCTTTTGATTTTGGCAATATTGGATTTTGAGATCCAGATGAAGAAAGTAAATCATTGGATTGTTTTGCATGTAAAAAATACCATCCAATTTTTAACTCTTAAAAAGTTCAGGAATAATTTACCTTTAATCCCACTACCCAGAGCTGGGTTTTGATCCTTCCCTGTGCATGTGTGTGACTGAGGTCATACTGTATAGTTTGCCACCTTTTTGTTTCACTTAATTTGCACTTTTCCTCATTAGTTTCCCATAATTCCCTATGGATTTAATATCCTAATGTTTCTTTAAACATTCACTATTCTACTACTGGTGGAGTTTGCAGTTTTTATTTACTTGCAGTGAATATATCCTATGTATTTCTTTGAGTCACTGGTTTTCCTGATAAATACCTCACAAATGGAAGTGGGTGAATGTGTGAATTATGTAACTTTAAATGTGGAGAAAATGTATTTTAGCAGATACTAATAGTCAAGGTTATTCATATTTATATTAAAGAGCTCTTTTTCCTTGAACAAGATACTTCTGCCACTCTTTTGGCCTCCAGTTTCCTCATTGGATAAAGTAGTATTAAGAACAGATAAATTCTCGTAGAAGGTGAACAGAATTAGTATCTTGATCTGTACCCTAACAGGCCAGATTCATTTTGGTATTTATGTTTGCATCTGATTCCAGATGTTAGTAGTTTGAAATTCTATTGCAGAATAGGAGTAACCTTCAAGTGTCAGGCATAATTCCTAAAAAAATCTCAATGGCAAATTATAAAAAGCATGATATTCCAGAAGTGACAATTGGAAGGCAATATTGTTGAAATCATTCTGAAACAAAACTTGGCTTACAATCCTGTATGCCATATACTACTGTTTTGGGGCATCTATTAGAAAGCATTTTACACAGCGACCTGGATTTACTATATTCCCTTAGTAATGGGGGATATATCTATGTTGTTTTTCCTATGCTTTAGGACTGTGTATAAAGGGAAAGTTTTTGTTTCTTCCCTTTGGCTGTCACTATTTAGGTGGTGGGAATATGACTGGAAGGAGGATATGACTGGAAACAGAATCATAGCTCAGATTTGAGGTCATCTAACTTTGGGGAACATTTAATAAAAACAAGGTTCAAGTTCACAAATTTCCAAAATTCTTTAATAATTTAGGTGGTGGGAATATGACTGGAAGGAGGATATGACTGGAAACAGAATCATAGCTCAGACTTGAGGTCATCTAACTTTGGGGAACATTTAATAAAAACAAGGTTCAAGTTCACAAATTTCCAAAATTCTTTGATAAACTTAATGCCCAGCAACTTTAAAAACATACATTAAAACACAGCAACTTACATTGGCCAAAGGTTATAGAACAGAAACGGTGCTTATTAATTTGAAAAAATAGAAAAAGTAGGTCTATTTTTCTTTCTCTGGCATGATTTCTCTTGCAATTGCTGGATTTGAGAGTGGTAATTTGGAACTTAAATGGTATCTGATACCAATGTGATATATAGCTTGGAAAGACCAACGATGTTGAGTCCTTACTCTAATGTTCTATGGGCTTTTCAAGTCGGTTGTTATTTAATAGGAGACATAAAAAGAACATTGGGATAACATTGGGATAACCTGGTTATCCCAAGCAATCCTGTGAAAGGAGAGACAGGCAAAAAAAGAATTAAGGAGGAGGGAAGGGAAGTTTCCTGGGCATAACACCATTTGCAAGGTCACAACGAATACCCCAACAGAGAGCAGATCTTTTCTTCTCAGTTGGCACTAAGTAATTGTTTGGAACATATATGCGCTGAGGCTTGGATTGGGGTTCTGCTCGACAAAGCATCTGCTCTCGGACACCCCAGCGTAATTCCTTCCTATGATCTTCACCAGGTAACCGCATTGAGTCCCAGTCCCGTTTGTACTCAAAATATCGGGCTACCCGGTCCACCTTGGCCCGATTTCGGCTTAACTGGTCCAGCCTTGGGAGAATAAAGGACTTGGGTCTGCTGGCAACAATCAGGTCTTGTTCATAAGCTGGAGGGCCCATTCCTTCTCTTTGTAGACAGCAAATGAGCTGATCTTGAGAAATTCCTTGGTATTCATATGGTAGATTAAATTCTTGAGAAATATCAACTGGAGATTCTCTGTCTTCCTGGAGCTGCAGATTCATCAGCTTTTGTCTTAAGTCCCAGAGATCCAGATCATTTTCTGTACGAGATTCTGATTCACTGATAACTGACTCATCTGTCACTAATACTTCCCCATCTGGCTTTCTACGCAGCACCTTTCTCTTCATCACTGGCTTTCCAAGTCTTTGGGAGGCCTCTGAGACTGTTTCTGAAGTGACATCACTTTCTACACGTGGGTACTGTAGCTGCGCATGAAGAGCAGGTTGCTTCCCTGGGGTTACTGAAGCTTTACTGTAGGGATCATATTGGATAGATTTGGCTTCTCTCCTGATATCTCCCTCACCCTGCCTTGCAGAGATATGGGTAAATGCTGTAGCAGCTGCTAACATTTGTTCTTCTGGATGCATACTGGCCCATTTTTGTCCATCGGGTCCCATGAGTTCCTCCATTGCTTCCCTTACACTGTAGGACCTTCTGCAAGAGATAACATTGGTCAGTTTTCTGATAGTAAATTCCCAGTGCACAAATTGCTCATTCCCTTGTCTCCATTTTATGGCAAACAATGGCTAAGGCAATCATAAATTCAATAATTATAATAAGAGAGATTAGTATTGGGTAGTATCAGAACAATTTGGAGGAGCATTAATTCAGCTCTAGAGAATCCATTACCTGCTTTCATTTCCACTGTCATCTTATTCACTCCTACTTTCTACTGCTTGCCACCTTTAGGAGCTCACAGGACAGGAGAGTTCTGACATAAGAAAAGCTTGAGGCTACATGATATGGGGCATAACTGTGTAATGTACAGTATGTAATAGTTACTTACAGGGTACTTTATGTACCTAGCATTGTTCTGTGTGCTTTTACACTTATTAATTTGGGTAGTCCTCACAACTGTGGGATTATCTCCTTTTCACAGATGAATGACATGAGGCACAGAGAAGTTAAGTAACTAGTCAAGTTTACACAGGTAGTAAGTGGTGGAGCTGAAATTCGAAGTCAGATAGTCTGGCTTCAGACTAAGTCCTTGCTTTTAATGGTAAGAGTGATTTAATTTAACCATCATAAAAACAGTATTGTGCTCTCACATTTACACACATGTGTATATATACCTGCATGCATATATTCCCTATGCTTAAAGTAATTTTAATGCATCTTCAGTAGCCAAGATAAATCTGTTCATTTTAGTACCCTGACACTGAAATAACTTTTAGTACTCAAATTAACCCACTAAATACCCAATGCTAGTTTCCCAGGTGGATCTGTCTGTTGCTCACTATTTCCTGTGTCACTACTGTTTTTTTTTTTTTTTCAAACTGAAAAACTAATACATGCAACATAATTTTAAGCAAGGATTTCCCCTTCCTACCAGGTTTCACTCTCAAAGGCAGTTTCTTATGATTTCTCCAAAAATTTTTTCATATTCACATGTATTTATTTTTTTATATCATAAAGGGGCATAGTATACAACTCTTCTCACCCTTAAAGATAATCTTGGTGATCCAGCTATATCAGCACATCTAGACTTACTTCATTTTGTTTACAGTTGCATAGAATCCCAGTGTATGAATGTACCATAATTTATTCAGCCAGTCCCTTATTGATGTAGGTTTACAGTCTTTTGCTGTTAAAAACTGTTACAATGAATATCTTATAAATTTTTACCTACTTATGCAAGTATATATGTAGGTTAAATTTCTAGACATGCAATAGGAGGATCAAAAGGTATGTGCATATTCAGTTTGGTAACTGTTGCCAAAATGCTTACCTCTAAAGAAGTTGTATGAACAGTGCATTAACAGAGCTTGTTTCTCCATCCCCTCTCCAAAGTGGTGTACTATCAAATTTTCTCATTTTTGCAGTCGGTTTCCATGAAAAATAGTTCTCATATACATTTACATTTATTTAAATTCAGTAAAACTGAGCAACTTTTTGTATATTTATAAGCTCTTTTCTTTTTGTATGAAATGCTTGGTCTTTGCCCATTTACCTCTCCAATTGTTGGACTTTTTCTTATTGATCTTTTTATTAAAACTTATTTATATATCATGATATATTTATATATTAAGGAAGTTAGCCCTTTACCATCATTCATTTTTTCTTTCCAGTTTGTTGTTTACCCTTTCGACTGTAGTTTTTGCTGGCAGAAATTTTTATTTTTAGATTGTCACATTTTTTGGTTTTCTATAGTTTCTGGGCTTCCAGAATGTTTTACTTTAGGAAAGCCTTTCCCACTCCAAAATTGTAAGGAAAAAAAGTTATTCTATTTTTTCTTCTAGTACTTTTACAGTTTCATTCTTTTAAGTATAAACTTTTAATATGCCTATCATAGATACTGAAACTTAAAGGGCAAAAAACTAAATGAGCTACCTTAGAACAGATGTGGAGATGATCTTTTACAACTAAAGTAACCATCAGTCATAGATTATCCAGGACTATCCCAGTTTTAAGGATGTAGTACAGTTATCCTCAGATTATTGAAATATATCAGGAATTTCAACACTGACATCTAAATTACATCATCAAGCTGACTCTTGCAACTGTTAAAGATACAGAAATCTTTCATTAGATAACACATTAAATTTGGCTTTAAAAAAAGTCAGTGATGCTTAATTACCTTTTTTCTGCCATCAAAATTGTTTAAAGTGAGAAAATCTTGTCTCCAAGTTCTACTTCCAGTGTGAAATATAATCAACGATAAGTTTCTTCAATTAGGCTAGCTTCTATTGCACCACCTTTAAGACAGAACTGAATCTTAGATGATAGAATATACAAGCCACTTATTTTATCTGAAATATTGGAAAGCAGTAGAAACTCAGAGTAGACATAAGTAACCCATAAAAAGAAATCTTACAATTAGAAAAATTGGACAAATATGAGAAATCAAAAGGAAATATTTTAGGGAAAAAATATCAGTAACACCAATCCTCAGTCATCTCAAAGAAGATGAAGAATAGAGAAATGAAATCTACAGACATTTCCCCCAAACTTTGACAACTTTAAAGAAGCCTTAACAATGACAGCTGAATATTTTTTATTTTCCCTTGTGAACTGGCCAAACAGGATGGAAAAAAATATCTGTGGATGATCAACCCACAATTATTAAGCCAAGTCAATGCCTGGGCAAGCAAAAGTCTATATTCTTTGGGCATTAAATTAAACATTAATACCATGGTCAAGGGTTTGGATCCCCATAAGGACCAGCCACCAAAAAAAAAAAAAAAAAAAAAAAAAAAAAAAAAGTTAGGTACTATTTGAATGTAATGATATTGCCATCACCAAAGGAACAAGCACTGAAACTGGTGTATCCCTTTGCTCTCTTTTCAGGTAGGGTGGACCTGTATGATTTGTTTCTTCCTGGGGTTATCACATCATGGCTGAAAATGACATAAACAGAATCCAAACTGAGAAACTACTAAAAAGAGTACAAGAACTGGAGCAGGAGGTGCAAAGACTTAAGAAGGAACAGGCCAACAACCACAAGGACTCAGACATTAGAGAAAATTCTTCAGGAGCTGGAAAAGTTAAGCGTGCATTTGATTTCAGTGCTCATGGCCGAAGACATGTAGCCCTAAGAATAGCCTATCTTGGCTGGGGATACCAGGGTTTTGCTAGTCAGGAAAACACAAACAATACCATTGAAGAGAAACTGTTTAAGGCTCTTACCAAGACTCGACTAATAGAAAGCAGACAGACATCCAACTATCACCGATGTGGACGAACAGACAAAGGTGTTAGTGCCTTTGGACAGGTGAGAACCAGTATACTGTTTTTCAAAGCAATACCAGCATATTTTAGGTGTACATACTGAGTAGTGAAATTATTTGTATATCTAAAACACAGTATCTTTCTCTAATTCCACAGGTGATTTCTCTTGACCTTCGTTCTCAGCTTCCAAGGGGCAGGGATTCAGAGGATTTTATCTTAAAAGAAGAAGCCAATGATATTGCTAAAGAGATACGTTATACCCACATTCTCAATCGGGTGCTCCCTCCAGACATCCGTATACTGGCCTGGGCCCCTGTAGAACCTGGCTTCAGTGCTAGGTTCAGCTGTCTTGAGCGGACTTACCGCTATTTTTTCCCTTGTGCTGATTTAGATATTGTAACCATGAATTATGCAGCTCAGAAGTATGTTGGCACCCATGATTTCAGAAACTTGTGTAAAATGGATGTAGCCAATGGAGTGATTAATTTTCAAAGGACTATTCTGTCTGCTCAAGTACAGCCAGTGGGCCAGAGCCTGGGTGAGGAGAGATGGCAGAAACCTTTCCAGTTATGTCAATTTGAAGTGATCGGCCAGGCATTCCTTTATCATCAAGTCCGCTGTATGATGGCTATCCTCTTTCTGATTGGCCAAGGAATGGAGAAGCCAGAGATTATTGATGAGCTGCTGGACATACAGAAAAATCCCCAGAAACCTCAATATAGGTAAGTTAGGAAAAACAAAGCAAAACAGAAACAAACGCACAACCCAAAATAGCATATCCTCTTCTCCCCCATGACTGTCTAAATAATTGTATCACTGATTCAGCCTTCATGAAGCTTTCAATCTAACTTATTGTTATGAACATTTAGAAAGAAGTGGTAATTTCTAATTTTCTCTCATTATTCTGCGCCATTAGTAAGGAAACAGATGTTTGGACCAGGCTCAAGTAAAAGGACATTTCCACATTTTTTGTTTCTGAATTTATGTTGAGGTATTATGGTTAGATTCTGGTGAAATTAAAAAGTGAACATTCGGGCCGGCCCGGTGGCGCACTGCTACAGTGCGCCGCTTGGGAGCGCGGCGGCGCTCCCGCCAAGGGTTCGGATCCCACATACAGACCGGCAGCTCACTGGCTGAGCGAGGTGCGGGCGCAACACCGAGGGTTGCGATCTCGTTGCCGGTCCCGGTCCGGTACGGGTGCGACACTGAGGGTTGCGATCTGTTGCCGGTCACGAAAAAAAGACAAAAAAAGGGGGGAAAAAAAAAAAAGTGAACATTCAAACTATTCATATTAAATCTTGCTTCTTTTGTATTACTCAGTAGTCATAGTACTGTACTTTTGAATCTTTCCTAATTTCCAGTTTCTGAAATGGTAGGAAAGGCAGAAATAGATTTTTCTTTTATGAATAGGCTAAGGTCGGAAAAATACCAGTAATTTATTCCTAAGCTATAAAATCTAGTTTTTACTCATATTAAATACCATCAGCTGTTTTAAATTTTATAGCATTATGGTGGAGCCACATCAACTTACTCCTAGGTGACTTGTTACCACTGAAATTTACAGAGATCAAGTTGATGCATTTTAAAAAAATTATTATAATAAAGTTGTTCAAGGTTAGGGACAGTGTTGTATTTTCTTAGTTATTAGATATTCAATATTGACATCATTGCCCCCCATGACCCCCCAACCTTCAGGTATTTAGGAACTATTGGATGGCTGCTGTGTATTCACATACTGTTTCTTCTCTCTCCAGTATGGCTGTAGAATTTCCCCTAGTCTTACATGACTGCAAGTTTGAAAATATCAAGTGGGTCTATGACCGGGAGGTTCAGGAGTTCAATGTTACCCACCTACAACAACTATGGGCGAATCATGCTGTCAAAACTCACATGTTGTATAATATGCTACAAGGACTGGACTCAGTTGCAGTACCCTGTGAGACAGGACCAAAGATGGTTGGAGTGATAGAATGGAGAAATGTTAAGCCCCCTGTCATAAAGCAGACCAGTGCCTTTGTAGAAGGAGTGAAAATGCGCACATATAAGCCCCTCATGGATCGTCCTAAGTGCCAAGGATTGGAAACCCGGATACAGCATTTTGTGCGTAGAGGACGCATTGAGCACCCACATTTATTCCATGAGGAAGAAACAAAAGCCAAAATGGACTGTAATGACACACTAGAGGAAGAGAATACTGTTTTGGAGACACCAACAAAGAGGGTCTGTGTTGATACAGAAATTAAAAGCATCATTTAACCATGGAAAATTCACCAGGATCAAACAAGCTAGTGGTAGGTGGGTAGAAAAGAAATACACAAAAAATATTTACTGCAAGAAGTCCCAGAAATTCAGATGATCAGTTTAAAAAAAAGAAAGACTATAAGGCCCTATTAAGGAAGTTCTTTCTTAAATAGGACAGAGTTCAAACATTCTCTCATCCCTGTCCAAAAGGATTAAGAGATGAAAGAAACAAAAAGCAATGGTAAAATGGAGATGTATTTATGTACACACCTGGGAGCCTGTGCCTTGTGTTCAAATTCATTAAAACCTGACCCTGCAAGTGTCTAATCTTGTGCTGTTCTTTTTCAAAGCAAATGGGATATTCACTAATCATCTGAAATCTCAAAAAGAGCTTTGCCTAAGTGTCTTATTTTCTTTTTTTTTAAAGGATGACTGGTAAGAGGATCTTAACCCTTGACTTGATGTTGTCAGCACCACGCTCTCCCAAATGAGCTAACCGGCCATCCCTGTATAGGGATCCGAGCCCTTGGCCTTGGTGTCATCAGCACCACACTCTCCCAAGTGAGCCGGGGGCCGGCCCTGAGTATCCTATTTTCTATGAGAAAATTTAAAAACATTAAAGTCAGTCAATTAAGGACTGGATAAACTGGTTTAGTGCCAGGCATGATGCTACCTGGAAGTTACCTAACTGAATAAGGCACAGCACCTTTTCTTATGAAGCATGTAAATCTAGAGCAGTGGTTGGCAAACATTTTCTGTGAAGGATTAGAGAGTAAATATTTTAGGCTCTGTAAACCACAAATGATCTCTGTTGTGTTTTCTTCCTTTTTTACAACCCTTTACAAATGTAAAAAACCCTCTCAACTTGTGGGCCACAGTGTTTCCCAACCGTGGTTTAAGGAAAGTTCTTATAAAGAAAAGATACTCAGGCTAAATCTTACAAAATAAGTGGGAGCCAGTTAAAGTGAAGATGAAGAACCAGGGCTTTAAATGTGCTTAAGGCAGAAGATGTAGTTTGTATAAAGAGTTAGAGATTATAGCATATGTATCCAGGTAACTTGTAAATATTTCAGTATGGCTTGAGATGGACAAGAACATAGTTTAGAAAGGTAAGCAAGGGTCATGTTTGTAGAGCCTTGTAGGCCTTGAGAAGCTTATATTTTACCTTGAGGCGCCATTGAAAAAAATTTAAAAGTCAGAATTGTGTAGCAAAAATATTGCTCTGGTTATACTGTGGATTGGAAAAGAGCAAGATTGAAGGCAGTGGGGCCAATTAGGAGGCTGTTGGAGTAATCAAGGCAATGGATGATAACCTACGATAGATTTGTAGTAAAGGGAATGGAAAAAAGTAGATGAATTTGAGATTAAGGAAGCAGAAGCAACAAGACTCAGTGGATGAGTGAATGTAGAATTCAAAAGTAGGGAGGCTTTCTGGACAACTCCCAGGTTTCAGATCTGAGCAAAGGTGAGGCTTTGCTTGTTCTCAAAGTTAATTTTATAAGTGACCCTCAAAATATTACTTACAAACATAAATATTTATTCAAAAGAGCTCAAAGTTCTCTTTAATAATACATTATCCTTTGTAACAATAAAAATAATAAACATCAAAATAAATGAACTCAGTTCTTCTGCCATAATAATGATTTCCATCACTTCAGAGTGTTATCCACATTTATAATTGTACTATGTTTATGAGACCCAAAGTTTTATTTACCAACCAACAAATAATTAGTTTGTTCCTAGCTATGTTTAA